ATAGACGGACCAGAGCCGGGAAAGCACGAACGCCGGCGAGAGATCACTTTGATCTCCACCTATAATCGATCATTCTCAAATATAATCGGTTATCGAACATTATGATCGATTACTATGCAAATATAGTCGATCACTTTGACATATAAACTTTCGTTAGAGAGCGGTTAACAGCAAACCGCTATCTAATATATCTTTTAAAAAGCGGTTCTCAGTAACCGCTATCTAAGGTGTGTGGTATGTGGTTCAATATTCGCTCAAGCGAGGTTTTTCAAGCTTGAGCGAAAAGTGATTCTAATATGTGGTGAACCAACTTAAATTATTGGGCTAATTGCGTTTGACGTTTCGTCATTGGGTGTAATCTCGCTCAAGCGACAAAGTTATCGCTTGAGCGAATAATCCTTCAAACAATGGGGACTCTCGGGTTCTGTCTCGCTCAAGCGACCCTGTACTCGCTTGAACGAAAAGTGATTCTAATATGTGGTGAACCAACTTAAATTATTGGGCTAACTGCGTTTGACGTTTCGTCATTGGTTGTAATCTCGCTCAAGCGACAAAGTTATCGCTTGAGCGAATAATCCTTCAAACAATGGGGACTCTCGGGTTCTGTCTCGCTCAAGCGACGCTATACTCGCTTGAGCGAAAAGTGATTCTAATATGTGGTGAACCAACTTAAATTATTGGGCTAACTGCGTTTGCCGTTTCGTCATTGGGTGTAATCTCGCTCAAGCGACAAAGTTATCGCTTGAGCGAATAATCCTTCAAACAATGGGGACTCTCGGGTTCTGTTTCGCTCAAGCGACCCTGTACTCGCTTGAGCGAAAAGTGATTCTAATATGTGGTGAACCAACTTAAATTATTGGGCTAACTGCGTTTGACGTTTCGTCATTGGGTGTAATCTCGCTCAAGCGATAAAGTTATCGCTTGAGCGAATAATCCTTCAAACAATGGGGACTCTCGGGTTCTGTTTCGCTCAAGCGACCCTATACTCGCTTGAGCGAAAAGTGATTCTAATATGTGGTGAACCAACTTAAATTATTGGGCTAACTGCGTTTGACGTTTCGTCAGTGGGTGTAATCTCGCTCAAGCGACAAAGTCATTGTGTGTTATCTCGCTCAAGCGACAAGTGTTTCTAATATGTGGTGATTCATGTTATATTGTTTGGCTAACTGCGTTTAACGTTTTGTTTTGGGTCAATACTCGCTCAAGCGACAGGATCATCGCTTGAGCGACACTTATATAAGGTGAACCAAGTTATATTATGTGGCTAGCTGTGTTGGACGCTTTCTTTACAACTATTAAGCATGAATCTTGTCACTTGTACAATTTCTTTACAAAGTAAACCTATACATCTTTCCTACAATAAATCTTGTAACTTGTACAATTACTATATGCTAGTTTATATTGTTCTCTTCCCTTGTTCTTTTAATCTGAATTTCTTCTTTTATATTACATATCAACATCTTGCCATCAGAAATTCAAATGGAAATTAATGACCATTTTGTGGGTGGTGGCCATGCTCCATATATCATCCAAGCATGTGGTATGAGGATAGTTCTACCCTTATCAACCAATCCAACATGCCCTTTAACAGTTAATACTATAGAGGAGCATCCTCATTTCATATGTTCGTAACATATAAATCTGGTAGTAATTACATGTACTTTGTACACAATATTTATAATGTCATAATATTTAACATTTAAATGATCCATAACCAACTTAACAATTATATTACATATGAATAAACTGTACAACATTCATCAATGAAGATGAACAAATAATCAAATACAATATCTAAATTTCTATTCCTAGATGAGGATGTTAACTCCTAATTCAATAACCATGACTTGTCGATGAAGATTTTGAGGATGAAGTACCCATCTGCATCCCGATTTGTTCTTTCAAAATTTTAACTTCACGTTCAAGTTGAATGATCATTTTTTGATTTTCTTCTGTTATAGATCTCCATATGCGCTGGTCCGTTAAAAGTTGTTGCAAGTCACATGACGCACCACTGGAGGAAGGTATGTCCGTATTCTCAATTTGTGAATGTGTCAAAGCTTCTTGCACAACTTTCATTGTCTGATCATCCACAGACAGTGCCCAATCCCATACAATCTAACATATAAAGGAAAATTTTATATGTTAGGAACATAATATAATAAGTCCACATTTTTAAGGAAAATTTATATATGTTGTACACAAAATTTCTTACATTGTTTGAGATGAATACACGTTCTATTTTGGACCTTCGAATGTTCACTTTAGGCCATTCAACAAAACGCGGAAAACAAATCTTTCGTGGTGGATCAGTAGGCAAAGACAGGTGCTCCATCGCCCGCATCTATTACATAATAAAATGTCATCAGATCACAATAATTTCATATCAACTAATAAATCAATCATTTGTAAGAAAGTTACCCGTAAGACAGCCACACAACCAGACAACGTACAATTGAGAAGCATTTTTTTCCTCGTTTAACTTTCTACTAGCACGATGCAAACTATTAACTAATAAACCGTGCACAACATTTCCCCAATTATAATTATCTAATGCCTCTAAATCATCTAATAAACTAAAAGGAACACTATGAACAGTGCGGGATGTGCGAGGAAAGTAAAAAACCGCCCACCCAAGTAGGATATAAAGCCTACAAAAGTCAACTACATATTTAACATGCTTAATTTTTTTCCCTTTCAGCTTCCTAACTATATTTGTTACTCGTTATTGGTTCCTCTTCGTCGAATAAATCTTTTACTAAACATGAACCACTATCTTCTAAAACAACTACCTCCCCCTTATACGTAAACCTAACGAAAAACAAACATCTAAAGGGGTGAATGGGACAAGATATTGTTTTATTCTAAAACAATGATCACTAACTCGACCATCGACTAACTAATTCTCTTATAATATTGCTTGATATTTGCAATGGCTCTTTTATTTGAAGAAGCCATTTAAACGGAGTTTGTTCAATAGTTGCTCGTTGGTGTTTGGTCAACTTTGAATTTATATCAGCTATATACTCTGTCTTAATCTTGTGTCTTAATCTTATCTGCACATATAACATGTATAACATATATAACATACATAACATATAACAAATTGAATATTTAGTAAATCGTTTTTCATAAAAAAACTATAATTAACATGCACATACATTTTTCTCGTCAAGACGGTCTCTTTTTGCAGACATTTTTTCCCAAACTAATCCTGTTACAAATTATTAAAATTGTAACTTACAATCACAAAATAGTACAAACAAAAAAATTAAGTCCAACCATGTTACACATACTTTTGGTCAAATTGTGAATTATGCAAACGTGGGTGTAAATCTTGTGCATATTATACAAAATGTTTGTCATGCAAATACAATTCTTCATTGTAGCATTTCATCAAACACTTGTTGGACATTAATATAGCATCATAACTCAATTAACCCTAAACCCTACATAATACTTTCATTACAAACCCAATCAAAGATAAACAGAAAACAAAGCAAGAATGCGCAAATACAATTCTTCATTATAGCATTTCATCAAACACTTGTTCGACATTAATATAGCATCACAACTCAATAAACCCTAAACCGTGAAAAACACATTCATTACAAACCCAATCAAAGATAATCAGAAAAGAAAACAACAATGGAAACCCAATCAAAAATACACACAAAATCAAGCAAATGTTGTTAAACGAACACTCACCACCGCAGGGTCGCTCAAGCAACACACAGTGATGTTCAGCTCCAACGACACGGACGAAGCCAAGCGACAGGAAGTCGAGCGCCGTCAAGAGCGAGATGGAGAAATTTTACCCTAAGTCGAGGGAGAAGAAGTCGAGCGAGGAAGACCGCGAATGTGAAAAGCGAAAATCAATGTAACTAAGTAGTAGAACCTTTTTCTATCATTTAGATAGCGGTTATTTGGCCAACCGCTATCTGAACTATACATTATGATCGATTATTATCCAATTATAATCGATCAGATTGACATAGACTTTAGATAGCGGTTATTTGGCCAACCGCTATCTGAACTATGCATTATGATCGATTATTACCCAATTATAATCGATCAGTTTTACATATATGACTTTAGATAGCGGTTAATTGGCCAACCGCTATCTGAACTATACATTATGACATATATGACTTTAGATAGCGGTTATTTGCCCAACCGCTATCTGAACTACATTTATTATAGCGGTTATTTTGCCAACCGCTATCTAAGGTCGCCTCGCGCTCGAGCGACTATGTAATCGCTTGAGCGACATCGACAGTTGAACCTTTACCAAACGAAAGTAAACTCCTGCAAATCCTGGAAGGAGAAAAGTGTACCCTTGAGTTACTTTTTCTCATATGAGCTCGTACAAAGGCGCCAAGAGCTTTCTTATTCACTCTTGGCGGGGACTACTACTGGGAAACCAAACGAAAGGAGTGAAAACTTTTTATGCTGTTGGCTGCTTGGGCGCTTACTCTGCTCTCGTCTATGCTCTTGGTGTGACGCAGCTGGGTATCGATTTGACTTTAGGATCTTTAGGTGGCACTCACTGGCCCCGTCTTTGCTCTACAAACTCATGGAAAGGCAAGAGCCTGGAAGCTAGGAAGAACGAGCCCTTCAATTCTTCTATAACATCCCCCATTTTTACAATATTACATATCTGAACCCATACAATTTTACTAATCAAACCCTTATTTTTAATTAATTTCTTTTTAGCCCCGGTTGTCTAACAGTTGTTTGTTTTCGGTTGTCAAAGAATCGTTTTCCTTATTTTCTTCTCACCTGAAAATTTTCTAACATATTTCCACGTACGTTTCATGTGATGAACATTTTATACATAATATAGTCAAACAAAGCTAGTGCTGCAATCCTAGTCAAACATAAAGGTTGCAAAAAAAAGTAACAAAAAGTAAACAAAAAGAGGTGAATGTGTGACCATGAGCATAACTTACACTTGCCCCATGAGAAACAAAAGAAAAAAAATAGGTACACATTTTTGCCTACTCTGTGCTAGCACAGGTTCTCTCGATCACCTTTGAATATGTTCTTTGAGAATTTTTGGATGGAGAACTTGATCCTCTAGAAGAACTATGCCCAAAAAGACTGAGCTTACCAATCTTTTTGGAGAAAGAAGTCATAAATTTACGTGAGCCGGACTTAGCCATGTCCCTCTTCATGCAAGCATGTTCCCTCTCTAGATCATTTAGTCTCATTCTTAGGCGAGCCAATTCAAGTTTAAGCTCACGGTTTTCACGTCGCAATGATGCATAGTTGTCTCGTGGAGACATTGCTGCACTTAGAGCACCACTATTTATGCGCCATGACTGTTGGATTGGCTTGGGGTCATCTTCCCCGTAGGAGCAGGACAAAGAATTTCTAAGTCTTAGCTGCTCAAAATACAGAACTTGCACTATTGATTGGAGAGGAAGGCGCTCATTTTGCGCAGCGTGTGCTCCAGCTTCTTGAGTAAGCTTTTGAAAGTCAATCAATTTGCATAGTTTCTTCTTGTCCAAATCTGACAAACCTTGGTGAGCCTGAAATTGCATAAGGTATCAGCTTAAAATAACAATGTCAATTTTACAAGTGATGTGTAGGTTATACTTTGCTGAAGGAAAACAAAGTTTCCTTTCAAGACTTAGGGAAGACTTAAGCATAAGAGTCATTAGGCACTATACTTACAGCACAAGTTTGATAAACCATGAATGATATGCAATCTAGTAGTATAGTTAATTAGCTGTTTTATTCATACAATTTTGTAAGATGTTGTACATACATAATGAAGCAAAGATAGTATAACATACTTTTAAGTAAATATCAATTGCCCGATATAAACCATCATGAACTGTGCGGGCATGTGCAGGCAAGGTTTCTGAAATGACCAAAAACTTGGAAAGTTTAAGGTTTGCATCCGGGGCAATTTCAGCAAGGTAGTTGTCCACTAGTTTTGACACTTTAACTAGTGCGGTTTGGGAGGGTGAACGAGGGCTGTCAGATTCAAAAACAGATGCATCTTCTGGATCTTCTTCACTATCATCCTGCTGACAGAAATTTACCAAAATTCTATGAACTGTGTCAACATCAAACAAGGTATCACCGGCATGCCTGAACGATGGAATCAAAATATCATCAAGGGTGGCAACATCTAGCTGCGATCCAATCCTTCTTTCCAAGTCAAGTCTACAAGCAATTGTACAATCAAGCATCACTGCACTTCGCAGAAGCCCGAAAAGGAAATTGATTGGAACAGCAAGTTTCTCAACAGGCAAAAGGCTTACAATGGTCTCAACCACAAGCTTTTCATGCAAACTGGAATTTGAATCAATCTTAGTTTGGCTAGATGGATTCCACAAGCTGGATTTCTTTGTCAATTCTTTCTGTGCATAATTCACAAGGGAAGCACCAATACTCTCTGGCCGAACCCCACGACATTTCATGGCCGTTATGACTCTTTGATACATATCAATTCTCAGAACAGAAAGATCTTCAATCCACCAATCACCATCGCATTTGGCTTGCCTGCTCATGTGTAACCTTCCTGAGCTGCTATACTCTAATCTTGAGAAACTAGAAGCTATTTGTTCTGCACATGCTTTTGAAGCTATTGCATCAATGCAGCGGCTAACTACTTTTAGCTCATCAGCAAGAGGAAGCAGGCTCTCACATTGTTGCAATACTTCAAGACACATTTCAAGATTCTTGCACACTATACTTTCAAGGTATTCCTCGGCACGCGAGCCAAGGTTGTCTTTTGAAAAGTCTTCAGTCATTTCAAGGTAATCAGAGACACAACATAGCTGAGCAACATTTGTGGATGTAATCTCAAAGTTAATACCATAACAAAATTTCGCTGCCAACTCAAAGCATTCGGCACCTCCTGGTAGATTAAGAAGCTCAACTCTTGAGATGTCAGCATCCCTGTGTTCTGCAACTATCCTCCTTATTCTCCCACTTCTGGAGACAAGAGGAAACTTCATGCAAAAGTAATAACAATTAGAACAATAACAGAGGAAATTTCTGTATAGTCCTTGTCATACATTAAAAATAATCACAAAACCAAATATAGGAGACAAGTACTACTAACCTTGTGCAATGAAAATGCTCCTCCATTCACTTCTATTGTTATATCACTCGGTACATCACGAAAAATCCTACAAAAGGTCAATAGGTGTATCATTCATAAGATAAAAATGATAAGTCCTCTTTCTCGACTTTGTATCATAATAACTCACACCCCTATCGCTCATCAGAATGATTTCAAAAAATATGTGCAAGGAAGATAATTGATCCTTCCTTTGCTTGGGAGGATATAAACGCTCAAAAGCAATTAGTACAAGAAAAGGAAATAACTCCAATTTGAAAATAGATACAGAAAGCATATAACATTACTCTCATTCCTTCACTTACATTTGCATTTCCCTGCTAACAAGAATAAATTGTATTGTTTTCAAACAATTACAGGAAGCGGAGGAAATAATAAGGAAAAAAAGATACTGGATTCAACATAACCGACTTTTGCCACTATCTTTCTAGAACCGTTATTGTAACAGTTTTAAGGTGGCATCATGTGATTTTTTCCGGTAAATGATGTTACTTGCATTAACTCCAGAGGACCGACCCAAAAGATGAAAAGAAAAATCATTTTGAAATGAGAATCCCATGAACCTTTTAGCTCAATTAATTAAGAAAACGGCATCCCCGACAAAATTTTGTGGGTTAAATTCTCAACATACTTTGCTTAATGATCATTGTCAAGAACCCTGGCTTAATAAGAAATTTTAGAAAAGGTGATCGTTCATATGTCTGTAATTCAGGAATAAGGAAAGCAAAAAATGTAAAGAATCTACTTTTATTACTTAATATAAAAAAAATAACAATGGCTAATGATAAAATTATACCATCCATAACAAAATCAAAAGTAAACAGAAAACATTTAGATCATCCAAGTAACCAAGAAGTTATACCATGCAAAAGAACAAGGCATGATGATAATTCATTGATCACTTAGAAGATAATCAGCTGAACATAAGATACATTACATCGCCATCTCATAAACAGTAAGAACAGATCTTTGATAATTTCTTTCCAGCCGAAAGTTCAGAAGAACCATAGAAAAATTTAGTTTGGTTGTAACAGTCTCTAGCAGAATCCAAGTTAATAAACATAATTACTAGAATACATGACAAGTCATAGATCACTTGTTCAACAGATCAAATACTAACACACAAGAAAAGTTTGAACATAGGAAAGAAACTAGGGAGTGCATATGATAGTAATAAGAATGACAGAGCATGCATAATCAGAAACTCATCCTTCAAGCAACAACTTGTCTCGGAGGAAAACAAAAGGAAAGCATGGGAAATTCAAAGCATAGAAAGTTCTCTGAGAAAGCATGAAACTAACCATTCATTGTATCTCTGCCTTGTACCCTTGGCCAAGGATAACTGCTGCTGCTTGTCAGTACGATCCATAGGAAGTGAAAAAAAAAACAAGGTAGTTAAACAGAACGGAATGTGAAAGGAAAGATAAAAGTATAGTAGTAGTGGGTTTAAGGTAGTAGTAGCAGTGAAGTGGGGAAAGAGACAGAGACCCAGTTGGAGATGTAGCTGTAGGGGGAGTTCTTTGGCCATTTTCGTTGAACAGGTGGTGCTCATTGCATAGATTGCAATTGTCCAAAGCAATGGGTCTGTGATGTGGGTCACACCTTGCTTTACGTAACTTATTTTACTTTACTTCTTATATATAATTATAAATTAGCAAAAATGAAATCAGTCATATTATCTTTTATAGTGTATGGTGTACACAATGATCCAATGAATTTAAAATAGACATGTTTCATCATGTATAGTGTGCATAGTACACCATGCATCAACTTTTAAAAATTTAAATTGAACAAACCTGCTACACATCTGAAATTAGTTATCTCTTGATTTTACTTTGTTTAAGTTAACTAAATTAAATAATCACTTCAAAATATTTTGAGACAACTATTTACCCTCAATGAGTTTCAAAACTTTCAAGTTAGGTGCAAGGGAAAGTCAGTGATTGTGTGTGTGTGAGTGAGACACAATTATTTTTTATTCGTTCGGTGGTGCTTTTTCATTGTTCTTGATTTCTTTAAGGGGGTTAAAGAGGCGCAAAAAGGGAAGAGAGGTGCTGGTAGTTGTTCCTTTATCAAAGAGGTTTTTTGCGAAAAGTCAAAAATGTTGCTCAGAGGAACAGGAATGAAAGTGGGAACAAAAGTTGCTAACAGGTTTTGACAATTTTGTCATGTCACTCTTTCTGTCCCCTTTACTCCAAATTTCATCATTTTCTTCTCTGAACACATTATGGTTGTCAACAAGATTTGAACATTTCTTTATATGAATCTTTTGGTAGTGCCATTTAACTAAATAATGCAGATTGATTGCTTTTATGCAGATTTTATGGACTCCTTTGATAACGGTGAGTTTTTATACCAAACTTTGTCTTATTTTCTTTTTTTAAGGTATACTCTAGTATTCATTGATTCCCTGAATATAATAATATCTTGTCTCCAGCTCATACAAGTTTTCCTTTAAGAGAAGGTTCAGAAAACCGTTAATTACTTCATAAATGCAGTTACGGTTACGAAGGTAGAATATGTAAGGAAGAGGACAAATATTTAGTTTTCAGTAAGCTCATAAAATAAAATGCTTTTATGTATACAATTTAAAAAGAGATAAAATGTAAAATATAGTTTGGAGGTATTAAAATGTTTATTTCTTTGATCTATTTACAAATGAGTTTGCATACATATTATCATTTTCGTATCAAAACATTAAGATACATGTTATTCATAATTTTTCAATTATATATTATTTGTTTGAACTTCAGCATTATTTTTTTTAGCAAAAACATTTATTAATAACAAATAATTGAACGAGAATGACCCTTACTTATATAGTTATTTAGTGACACACTTATTTGATATATCTATTAATAAGACTTTCAATACGAGAATTCACAATCTTAGAATATATCATCTACTCTATATTTTATATATATATATATATATATATATATATATATATATATATATATATATATATGATTAAGTTGGTCAATAAAAATGAATCATCGATACTAATAATATTGTTAGATATTTAAGAGGATGACAGATTCGAAAAAAATTCATGAATGGACCACAAATCAAAAAAACAAAATTTATGGTAAAAATATAATCTTATACTTTAATTTCCATGAAAATACAAATATTTTCAAAAATATTTCTTATTAACCAAACAAAATTTAGTCATTGTTAGAAATGATAATTCATAATATTCATAAGCCTCAAGAACCATAATTTCTAGATATGATAAATTCTTTTTACTAAATGTCACATGAAAGTTAAAATTAACCGTTTAAAATTTTGTATGAAACATTTTTTTGAAAGTTATTAGAACTTTGGAGTAACTTAAGAATAAATTATACTTGTTATTATGAATTTGGGATATGATTAGATAATATAAGATAAAAAAGTAGGATAGAAACATGATAGGACAAGAATAAGATAAATATTAATTATATTCATTATATGGTACATATCATGATAAGGACTAAATTATAATGGGTTATGGTATTAATAGTGATGGTGATGATAATGATATTGATAATAGTAATGATGATGGTAGTTAGGATAGATATGGTCATGGTTTCTATAAAAACAATGGTGATAGTGATAATAATGATGATAGTTCTAGTGTGGTACAATTTAGTATTAATTGTTATGGTATAGAGGACATGGTAATGATGATGATGATGGTAAAAAACATTTCATAAACCTTAAAGGAGGGTTTTGATTAGGTTAACTCCCATACAAGAGGTTATAATATAGGAGCTATAGCCGTCTCATTCCTATTCGTTGTTATGATATTCCATATTTAAATAGTAGAGATTCACAAAGAAGTATTGCGCTATTTACTAGTGAGTGGTATTATTGGACTGATCCTTTGGTGGGAAATGTTCTTCATTTTAGATAATGAAACCATTCCATTACTACCAACCCAAAGAAATACGACCTCTTTGAGATATAAGGTTTATGCCAAAAAGGTACGAAGTTGGACTAATTTGGAAACATTGGAGAATTTACTTTATACCTACTATTTCTTGTTTTTGGTCCTAGTCTAATTTTATTAGTTGCCATGATAGGGTCTATAGTATTGACTATGCATAGGACTACTCCGGCAAAAAGACAGGATGTTTTCCGACGAAATGCTATTGATTTTAGGAGGACTATAATGAGGAAGACAACAAATCCACTCACGATCGACTAAAAGGAAAGTCACCTGGAGATATTGGTTCTCACACATAAGCTCTCAATATGTCTTTTAATGATTTGATAGTTTTATAAATTTGGCCAATGTGCGAGAGTGATAGATTGAACTCAACTAAAACTTGGTTCTCAAGACTTTATACAAACTTCCTCTAAATTTTAAAATTAAACCTAAAATCTCTATAAGAAACTATATTAGAAGGCACAATGTGCAATCTAATATTCTGCGTCATGTAGATATATGTAAATATCTTTGTAGATTATTTATAGGTGACATGTGTGCAATGCAAGAAAAAATAAATAAGAAAAGAAGCTTAAGAGAAGAAATGTGAATAATATCATTATTAAAACAAGATGAATTGACATAGAAAAGATTAAAATGACCTAAAAATGTAAAACATGCCACTTGAAGAGTCATTTTTTAAAATAAGTACAAACCATAATCCCCACTTGAATCCTAAGTTTTTTAAGACAAGACTAATAGAAAAACAATCATTATCACAAGTATTCTAAACTTTTTCAAATTAAGCATATTTAAGAAATTAAATTGGAAATAGAGGAGATACATATTTATAGTCTTTAATTGAAAATTTTAATTCAAATACAAGATAAAAATTCAAATTTGAGATTTAGAACATTCTTTATTAAGTCTGTGAGCTTCTTGGTTTCATCCATATTTAGTTCACAATTTTCTTATTTGTTTAACTTGTTCTTGACCGTCCACTTTCTTCTTATTTGACCAATCTTGATTATTCTAATTGGACTTTAATTGAATCTTAAAGAAATAAAATCCTACTAATTACATCCCATGAATATAAATTAAAGAAAATAAAAATTAAACATTTTCTTTAGTCATGCTTCTTGTAGTTCTCTTTAAAAATCATATTTATGCATTCATCTTCGTCTTTAAAATAATTTTTTCAATGTCAAGCTTAAACTTCTTGTGGTGAAGGAGTTAAGGTGAAAAGATGAATAAAAGCATCTTCTCACAAATCCATGTGTTAAAATAAAAATGAAAAAAAAAATGGTTTAAATAGAATTATCAAACTCCTAAATAAAATAAAATGTATATTCTCACAAAGTGTCCAAAATAACAATGTAATGGAAATCATGGTAGAGCTATTAAAATAAAAATGAGTAAAAATAAATGAATTTAAAATCATTATACAAAATTAGCAAAATTTTAAAAAGTTAGCTAAAATAGAAATCAATAAAACAATAAAATAGTAAATAATAATTTTAGGATCGAAATAACCCATTTCACATTATTGAGCCACTTCATGATGGAGCAAATAAAATTGTAGAATTTTGATGGAAAAATCATTCCTAAAACTTGAAATATCACTCAACCTAAAACATATTATTGTTAGAATATTATTATTGTTTAATTTTTCGTCAATCAACTTTAATATCTTAGCCAAGATTACAAAAATTGTTATTAAAGTTCTATTATACGAACAAATTTGAACAATCTTACTCTAGATAATACCAATTATTATTAAAATTATATTGTAATCTAACAACATATGACATCAAACAAGTTTATATTTTTTAAATTTTAGTCGAATTTGAACAAGTTAGATCATGATTACTTGAGATTTCCAAGATGTTAAAACAAATTTTACCCATAGTTATATATTGGTGTTTTACTTGGGATTTGACAAGTTACTTCTAAAAGAAAGAATTTGATATTAAATTAAATGAGTCAATATACAAAAATAACCCATACACGAAAAATAATACCATTACTAACCTAATAAGAAATATAGGTAGAATAAATAATAATGACAAAAATTAGTTTATCCATCTATCAATTGGTGATTTACAATATCCTTTTCAATGTTAAACTTACCATCAACATCAAGATAAAACAATTTAGCCTACTGAATAACTTTTAAGAAACCTTCTTCATACTATCAAGGAATTAACTGAAATATTCTTCCAAGGTTTTTTGAAACTTGAAAAAAATTATCTCCCACAATTTTGGCCTCGCTTAACAATGAAATCACCTAATCTTCATCTACCTTACTTTTATCTTTTTGTTGGGTTAGTTGCCCACACACCATTACACTAAGACTTTGTTCTCTTTTTAGCTAGACGAAGAATGTTTTCTTATGCACTTCCATTTATACACTCAATTGGTCAACTTTTGCTTTAGTCTCCATTAGAGACTTTTCTAAGTCTTTTTTTTTTTATCTTAATAAGACTATTGGTCCTACAAAGATAGCAAAGATGACAAATGATAGTCAAAGAACAAAACCTCATTACTTTTGCACATTTCAAGTCCCCCTCAACTCCAAATGGTTCATACCTTCAATGTCAAATAAAGAGAGAACATTTCCTATAGCCAATTTATCAAAA